TAATCGTTCATTAGGTACCGCGTTAACCCCGGATGCGGACATACGAAGATGGTTGCGTGCACGCGTGCTGCACGCGTGCAAACTCTTACCTGGCCGGCCGACCGACAGTTTTTCAACCGGCCAGCCTTGCCGAGGCCGGCGCAAATGGAGGAAACGGCGGCTTCCGGTCTTGCTTCTTCATCTTGAACCATTCTAGCAACTGCTTCACTCCGTCAGCGACCTGTCTCGCTGGTATCTCTTTCAGCTTTACCTTCAGTTTCGAGAATAACTCCGTTGGAATTATTACTTGACCAAGTAATAATTGGTGTTTATATTTTTGTATCTTATTTCAATTATTAGCCTTTATTGGTTTATTTGTTTTTCTATGTAATATAGACTAAATAGGCTGCAAATCTACCAAATCCTTGGCATATTCATAATAGAAGAAAATCGTAAGTGCACGTTCGAAACCAAACGATTCTCGTCACCATCGTTTTTTTCAAGCCTCGAAGAACATTGAACTTGCCTGAAACGCGACAAAGGCGCAAACGTTTCTAAAGAAGAAGACGATGATCAGTCATCCGGCTCTGACAGACTCGCGATTTAAGCTTCCTCCTGTGAATATCCGAGCATGTATCCCCCGACGCGTTTTACATGTATTCCGCCGAAAAGGCTCCAAGAGGCGGGAGTAATTACCGGCTGAAAGAAACGTTTTGCGCCATCTTTATTCCTGTCGCTGGGCGCTCTATTCCCGACCCCGGGGGTCAATTCGTTTTCGCCGCAGTCCCGGGCGAAATAATTTATGCCCGGTGCCCAAATTTGTAACCTCGCCGAGCACTGTTTCCGGGAGTGAAACGGGCTTTCACGGATATGAAGACCTCTCCGCCGCGGTAAACGGATCTGTGGGAGTAAAAGGCAAATATGTTTACCGCTGGCACCACCGAAGCAATCAACATGACTGGTTCTTTAACTTTTCTTGAATTTAAAACGGTGAATTTTTTAAGTTAATAGTGACTTTGTTGTTAGTGCGATACAGTGAAACCTCGATGAGTGTTCGAAAGCTTCTCGGCAGTGAATATTACATATTGCAGAAACTAATGGCTACATGCGGCTCAAAATAAGTGTCATTGGTTTCAGAATTCCAAGCTGTATCATTGTGCTAAACCTCATTAAAAAGTCACCGTTACATCTGGGGACTTGTCCTTGTAAGTGTCGGGAAGCCTTGGAACACTTATCGAGGATTTGTTGTATGTGAATGGATGTGGTGTGTTTCATAATGTGTCGGATCTACATTGACGATCGGTGGAGAAAGAGAACAGGAAGAGAAATTGATATAAACGTTAATAATGTCAGCTCTATTTGTCCTTCTTTCTGAGTTATAGTCGTTCGGTTACGAAAGGTCGGTGGTACTCGAACAACAGAGAGCTCTTCCAGTTGGTGTTAGAACAATACAGTATCCAAGTGTGAAATATCGTAACGACTTGTTAATACGAGCTAACAATAAGGTGTCGTCGCACCTTCGAGCTTCACTCACCTGACATGTGTCTTTGAAGTAGGAAATAGTACTGTTTCTATGAATTATATTTCCAAAGGACACTAAACTGACAACCTAACAAGTTTATTTCATGAAGTTTATCTACATAACATTATTTATTAATTGGGATAGACAGTAACTCTATCATAAATGAAGATAAAAGAGTTCACTTTAAAAATTTTTGTTCTTCGAGTAAATATAACATTCCGTTTAAAGGGAAAATCTTTCTCTGGATCAGGAATTTATTTTTTTTTTGCTATCGTAATTGCACATTTTGTGTGCATTCATACATTCCCCTGTTGCAACTGCATATTTGCAATATTATATTATAATAGAATGAAATCATAAAAATTAAATTACACAATTTCTTTTTCTAGCGTCCATTTCTATCCACATTCGAAATGGACACGTTCGCTTAAATAAATACAATCGCTATATCTTTTCCAGCAAGAGGCCACCGCACGATAAAAAACAAACATTTAACGTACACATAAAATTTATTATCTTGACATTTTCGCCGCGCATTAATATTGTTTACCCGAAAAAATTGTACGAGCGGTCGTCGCTACAAAAATTGCTCGCCGCCGCATAAGAACAGCAAATGTTTGAGGACAAACAGCTGTCGCTTCGGAAACAATTCACGTGCTGACTCGTGGATTTTACTAGCCCCGCGGGGCCGTAACTGCAAACAATTTTTCGCCCGTCCGTAAATAACTAGGAAGGGGCCGCGGAACGATCTGCAAACAATAGTTCGGCCGCTTCGGAAGTTCCGGAATCCGTGTTATGATATTTGTCGTACGTGACTTGGCCGCGCTACCGCACTCATAAAAGTTGCGGTTGAGATGTATCTTCGGCAAGGAACGTGAAGGAATGCGATGGAAACGGGCAGATAATACTTTACAAGCTTTCCTTACGACAACGTTAAATCGAACGTCGGTTCCAGACGAAGTAGAAAGTTTTAATTGAAAACACTTCATTTTCACACTTTTCGTACTATTCATTACTGTCACCCATAATAAATGTCAGGGTGATATATTTTTATTGAACTGTCGAGTGTGATTGTTTTGATTAATTTCTTTATTGTGCATACATTTCACCTAGATGTTATTACCGTTCTTTTGAAAGTGATTTGATAAATTTTCAAGGCGTTCGTGGAAATTAACGTATCGAGACTAATGGAAGTCAGTTCCTTGCTAGACGATAACATTTAATAGAATCTTGATGGGAAGCTGTAAATATTCCACACTGCGACGATGATGTCATTGGCTAATGACTATCGTGGAAATAGCTTTCACGATGTTCTTCTACACTCTTTTTCTGGTGAACGTAACTGAACTCTACCAATTCCAGGATTCCGTTTCGCCGGCAGCTGTAAAATAAGATTAACGCACATTTTTACGCGACCGATGATATATTTGCGGCAGCTCGTAAACGACGAACCTCCGCGATTCAATTGCTTCTTCAGTTTGTTTTTGTATCGTGAAATTCGAGCAGATTGAAAGCGGGAATTTACTCTTCAACTTTTACTATACTATAATATATACGCTACAAATCTCGTCATTAAAAGTGGATTATAACATTTTTTTTTTTTCAGTAAAATAATATTTGTTTAGAAATTGGTACTAGACAGATATAAACAACGATTACAATTTGCTCTACAGTATACAAATAAAAATATATTTGCTTTAGATATCCTATTGCAAGATTACATATTTTGCTATTTTACTGCAAGTTTGAAAATGTATACAATTTTTGTCCTTTTCCTTCTGTAAAATTGGCATATCATGTAACTAGCATTAATAGCTAAAGGTATAGTACTAACCTGGAGTTACCTACATTAGCATTTTAATTTATTTCGTTATGTATATATTCAATTTCTTTATATTTTTTTCTTATTTATTTGGATAAACACATTATCATAATTTTTACCCAATTATTCAATAATTCCGAACACTTAGAACTTCCCTTATTTATACTCCGGTTCAATAAAAATGCAACACCTGAAAGATTACAAAGGTACCTTCCCTAAGGTATACTACCCTTCAGCATCCAATACCGGTATCTAAGTCGTACGAGGTCACCGAATTCGCAGATAAATTACCAGGGAGCAACAAATCGGCTAGAGCAGTCTCATAAAATCACCGGGTACACGGTGTGCGCATCGATGGTGAAATCGTGGTTGTATCACGGCGGCGAGCATCGCATGCAACCATCTCGCCGCAGATCCTATCGTCCAACAAATTCGGCCATGTGCACGAGTTACAACCGCCATAAAATGCTGGCCGTTTAACGATGGCACGAATTTATTGGATATTTTCGGTAGCTAATGTGGCCACCGACCTCTATCCCCTCTTTTAGCCCTCTCTGTTCGCCCTCTTTTCGTTTTTCACCCCCCTCCACGTCACCCCAAATGGTCCGACAAAAACCCTTTGGGTGCTCTTTCTCGCGCCTCTGATCCACCAAGAAGATAATGGCGCTGGGGGTACGGGTTCATTTATTGGGCGTAAATCCACGTCGGCTTCGGCCCTAGCCAGAGTTTCCTCCTCTCAGCCGCCGCGTGTAATCGCGTCCTACGGTGCGAGAGATCCCTCTTAACGTATTTCATCGAAATTCCCGGTGTCGAAAGGCACCGTTTACACGGGCCGACGTTAAGGAGGCTTTACGACGTACCCCTCGGCTACCGCGGCTCGTTACGAAACAGGCAGCGAGGGAAACGTACGGGATTGCTTGGGCACCAGCTCGCGGCGCGAGATCCCCCCCCCCCCCCCCGAGGTGGATTTATTGGCACGGTGATGCGCCAAAATACGAGCATTGGGATCCAACGGTGACGCGAGGTCGCGGGAAAACCGGCTGTTAAAATCCCTCCCTGGCGTACGATCCTTCTCTGACTACGCTCTGGCGAGACGCGTCGTCACGCTTTCGAGCGATATTTTAGGGATTATCTGATCACGAATGGGGAGCTTGTCGGTTAATTGTGCGAGCAGGGAAGTAGTAAAATCTGGTTGGGAGTTGTGGGTGATCTGGGTAGTACTGTTGTTTCGTTGTTTATTTGTGAGTTGGTGGTGAATGGACTGGATTAGATGGAGGCTTTTGGAACGCTTCGTGAACGTTGATTTTTAGTCCTTCTCGAATTTTAGATTGTTAAAGTTGGATTGTTTTATTATTTGACTATTTTGAACTCTATTGAACTCCTCGGGTCTATATGAGCCGAAGCGAAGATTATGTTTCAATAGGTATGCTTTTAAATATTTTAAGCATTTGTTTTCAGTAGTCAATATATTTACATTTCATGTCTACCTTTTTTCTTGGAAGTTCATATGTTATTACAATTTTTCCAATGGTAGGCATTTGGAAAAATTGATTTGGAAGGAAGACATAAATTTTCTACAGATACTGTCTTCGAACTCTATTCATTTTTCGATGATGTATTAGAAAACGATTTGCTATGGAATAAAATAAAATAAAGGGTATGTTCTGTGTTTTCCAGGTGAGGTGTCAGGTGAAAACGTGTCCGCTAATCCCGGACCACGCGGCGACCGTGGAGAGGCGACTGATTTAGGCACACATACCGAAAACAGCGACGGGGCCACCCTGGCCGCCAACACAACGGTCGACGCCAGGGGCGGAAGCCCCCAAGGCGCTCACCTCTCAAGTGCGGCCACCCCCAGACCGCCGCGGGGTAGAAGGCGGCAGAACCAGAATGGTCTCGACACTACACAAGTAAGTAATACATGTTGCAGCTCTATTAGATGCACCAACGTGCAACTCATGTTTCTTAAAAGCAGAGACCTGCAGTGTTAAAAGTTTTGTGAAAACTAAGCTTTATTAGTGAATCAATATAGTATATGGTATTTTTCACATAGTACACGTTGTTCCACTTTGTCCTATCACAGAATAAAAAATGCAAACAAGATGAAGAACGTACTATGCTTCAAGGCCAAGCGCAGGAACAATAACTTGTAAACTCATTTTACTACAGACTTAATATCTGTAACATAACACTTTTATCCTTCACCTATAAATGATTAATCTGACATTTATTGCCAATCTTACAAAAATCCCTTTTCCTGCGCAAGCACCAAAAAACAGGAATCTCCTGTATATTGGTACTCGCGATATTTGCCTTCCAACAGATTTCGAAAAGACTCGTGTACATCGGGTCTCTGAAGTGTTTGATCGCCCCCCGAGACACGTGTGGGAAGCACTCGAGGGACTTCGGGGCGGAGAGGTCGTAGCCTGAAGCGGTAGCTTTAACGTACTCGTGGCCAAGAGGAGTCTCGACCGGACCCATACGGACCGGTGCTGTATGACAGCGATGTCAACCGAAGCTGCAGTGTCATCCCGCCGCTGACATCCGCGTAGAGCCGTTCGACGCTTCTGTAAACGGCGTGCACGGGAGGCCAGAAAAAAAAGGCGACAGTTCGGCGGCCGGGAAATGTCGATGGTCATCGTTCGAAAATAATGGCCGTTCAATGACACGTGGAAATCGGTTGCTACTATCTTTCGACGTGGATCGTATGAAGATCTTTGTGTCAAGACAACGAAGAGTGAGACGGTGGGGATGGATACCGAGGAATGTACCGAGATCGTTTCATAAAGGCATTTTAATTGATGATGAGGAAAAGGTTGGATAATTGAGTTTCGTACTACTGGTGAAAGTTTGCTACCGGTTCAGTTATCATTTGTCGTTATGGTAGAAATGGGAGTAGCCAAATCTCTCCGACTTTCTACAGACACGGAAAATTATCGGAAAATACAGTTGCGTGTATTGGACAAGTTAATTCGCCTTCCTGGTCAGTTGATTAATCTTTTGTGGTCCTATGTTGAGGTGGACTAGACATTCAATTCACTAACCGAATGTTTGTATATTTCTTTTAGAAGAATATAAGTTTAATTCTTCTAAAATATCAGGAATATACTGTTCTGTCAAGGTATCAAAATGTAGTGGAATTAAGGTCCTAAGTAGATTACCAAAAATACTTGGGACCGGAAAGCGTTAAAACCGAGAAGCTGTTAGTGGGAAAGAAGATAGAAGTGAGTTGCCAGCTGATAAAGAAAGAATTATAGTACCGGGTCTTGTGCTGCTTATAATTGTGTTGCTATGTCCCAAGCAATGATCTATAGAAAGGGAATACATTACCCATTTACGTTTCGTAGGGTCTTCGGGACACCGGTGCATCGCTTAAAGATTATAATGAGCCTTTTATCAAGAAAAATCTTCTACAAATCGTAAAAGAACTTAACGACGGAGAATCTAAAGACGAGGTAGGTAGGCGTCCAAAAAGAAGAGTATTCTTCAACTCGTAGAAGAACTTAACTCGTTTCATTGGACTACCAAGAAGTCAGAGATATTCCAAATCATAAATATCACAGATATCTTCCAAACATCGTTAATTACTTTGTACGCATAGATATGTAAAAACCTAGCACCACAGTTTAATTTGGTACAAGCTTCTTATAATAAAATAGAGAAGTCGCCTGATGTCCATTAAATGACAGCGCAAGGAACTAACAGAAAACAAGTTAAAGATGAGCTATACAGGCTACCAAAAACAAAAATAGTTTTCATCTCGTGAAAGAACATAACGACAAAGAAGCTGAAGATATGCCAAGTAGAATATCAAGAACAGAAATTTTCTCCACCTTGCGAAGAAAAGAGAGATCAATCCTAATTGATCGGCAAAGAGGAGGACACATTAGCCCAGGTTTTGGGCGCAGATTGCTCGAAAGGACTATCCAGCATTTTCTTTCGCAAGAAACTGGCAAGAGGACTGAAAGAACAGAGTCCTGGGACTGTATACACAGGGATCGTGTCTACGTCGCGAGACCCGGAGCGGTCCCTTGTCAGGAAGAGGTCTCGAGGCGAGAAAGAGATTTACCGTGGCCTCTTCGAGCGGCTCCTCGGACTCCTCGGGGACCCTATTCTACGCCAATCGAGTCTCGTTCTTCTTAGTGTCACGCCGCGTTCTCGCAGCCGAAGAGGAGTCAACTCTTACGCCACGCGTTGCCTTCATTACCATATCTCAGATGCAATCTGTTCCCGGGAATTAATGCGCGGAGATATTTCCTGCCAGGTCGGATACTTACCCGAGTGAAACCAAAGTGGATCGCAACGACGTTTTCAATGACCAAGGATGCGCGAGCCGTCAGGGCATCCCTTAAATTGCATTGGACACCATTTAATGCTTTCTTTAGATTCCTTATTTTGGAACAGTTTGTTGTTGTGATATATAATAGAATTGTTTGAAGTTTCATTTTATGTATGGTTTAATTCTAAGTGATTGATATACTCTAGATTTTCTTTATGTATGGCCTAGGCAATCGTGTAATATTGAGTATAGATGTATCAAAGTTTAATAAACTTTAGTTTGGTTTTTATTTTATTTGGGTACTAATAGAACGTTTAGTAGACGTCCGTTCATTGTAGTGTAAGATAATTTCTAGTGGATTATGTTGTCGAAGTTTATTTAAAAAATGCTTTATACTCTTGTTCCAGGTCAAAACCGAACGCCTCACGCCAGACAATAATTCAACGTCATCGAGGAGCGTGACGCCCTCTTCGTCGAGCCATCCGGGGACGCCGCCAAATGCAACCCCTCTTGGTGGATCCGAGGGGCCGCCACCACCCCATCACCTCAAACACATGGAGCAGATGATGGGGCGAAGTTACAGCGATTTTATGAAAAGTCTGGCTGCCAAGTACAACAACGCGAACCCCAATGAGTAAGTCGTCTCCTCTGTTACCTTCATAATAAGCTTTCTCAGACCCTGATGACTCGAGTTGCAATTGTTATTGGCTGAAGCTTCGATCTTTGCAACTCTGTAGTTAATAATAATTGTATATAAACTATAATCATTTTAAATATTCCTACAATCAGTCTTGAATTGACATGGTTAGGCTATAAGGATCTCTGGATCCGATAACTCCTTGTTCCATCCCTTAACTTTAATCATCAGGCTATGGGTATTAATATGAATTCGTATTTTTATCCACTATTTTGCGAAGAAAAAAGAAACAAAAATGTTGTTTTTCTTATTAAAGAATTTAATTTATTTAATTTTTCTCTTGAGAATTTTGACATTTGCTAGAACCATTCCAAAGAATTATAGAAGATTATAGGAACTATGTTAATTAACAGATTCCGCGACAATTATCCCTATATTCATCAAGATTTCTGATTGCAAAACGGCCATTACTTTTGCACACAATTAGTATTATAATCTCTTAAAGTGCCAAGAATTCTTAGTCCCTTTTCCCCAAGCGCAAGCAAACGTCCGCCCATTCGAACGTCCCGACAGCGACTATCGTTTAGAGCTAGTCGAAGTAAAGAACGTAAGACCTTGGTAGTCATGACGCTTGCCTTGACATTCTTCCTGCGATCTCCGTGTTCCGTGTGCATACGTGGGAACGCAGGTACGCGTAGCAGTCGATTCCTATGGTACAGCCCGGACAGTTGGACGAGGGATACAATGCCGTGGATGGATAATATTGATCGTCTTGTTGCATGTCGCGCGATATTGATGTTCGCGGGGACAGGATGGCTGGGTGTCCCCAGCGATATTGTCACCGCTGAACCGGTTGCAGATCCGTGGACTTTCAATTGTGTACCTTCCGGCAGCCGACCGGTAGGTACTCGACTGATCAGTCAAGTATCGGGCAGAGATCGACTTGACGAGGACGCGGGAAGCTCGTCACCTAGCGATCTGTGGCATTTCGAGGAGAAAGTATACATATAACCTCGTTCATCGTTCCAATTCGTTGAATAAATATATTCTTCGATCTTTTGCGTATGAGTAGATTCAGAACTCGGTGTTAGGTCGCAAGTTCAATATTATTTTAGTAGTAAATGAATCTGTTTAGTTTCAGATGTTTCTATCGGATTAATTGATTAGGACGCCTTCGGTGGTGATTTTAGGTGCATTAATAATGGAATTTTTATTGTTAAACTTGATGGAAACTGACAACTTTAGACTTAATATTCATAACATGATCTTATTCACTTTTAGACCTTGGAACTTAGTACTCATAACATAATGATATTAACTTGTAGAGAATGGTGTATTGGTAACAGGGTTTTGATGTCAGGTCCCAGAAGTATTGCTTAATGGGAAGGTGTGGTATTCATTTCATTTTTTCTAGCTCATGTAGTAATTCTTTCTAATTTTGTTATTCCACACCTCTGAATCGGTTGAGGTAATTACGGAAATAAATCTACGGAATTTACGTGTTACAGTTACTTCAGTACACCAAGAAACGGCTATCCTCCGGGTTTGGATCCGAGGTTTCCGGCGTTCAAAACTGCCGCGACGCCGTTCGTCGGTTTAATGGCCCCTCTTGGCGCGCCCCAACCGCCTCCCGTAACAACCACCTCACCCCTTTCCAGCAAAGATCCGAAGGAGCAAAAGCAGGACAGTCTGTTCGGTAATCCTGTGTTCCCGCCGATGCTCGACATGTCGTCGACGCAGGCTCTTTTGCACATGGTCAGGACCGCGAACGCCGCGCAGAACGCGGCCGAATTGGAAACGTACCTTAAAGGTAACTGTTGGTAATTCTATCCTTCTGGACTCTGAACTGGGGGTATCAATGAGTAACGGAGTATTTCTTTTTACTCACAAAATTCAGTATTTCTTCTGGAGAAAATTAATTGTACATGTTCTTTTAATAGTATTCGTCTTTAATGTTCAATGTCATAAGTCAGTTTTGTCGAGCATCAGGTTGGGAAGATTATATTTCAATGTTTTATACCATTTTCATGAAGTACAGGAAAGAGAAGATTTTAAAAAATTCACACTGTATTGCCATCTTATTAAGGAAATAGTGAATTAGTCACTGCTATACCTGATACAATCAATAGTAAATTAGATCGCCTATTCGAAACAGGATGGTTGTAGTATATTCTGTAACAGGGTAATCGGAATTTGAAAAGATAACGATGGCTTATCTACAAAAAAAACTTATTACAGCATTATTTTGACTAAAAAGACGTGTAAAGTGTGTAAAACAGTTCCAGTTTTTAAACTTGCACTAACACTTGCATTTAATAAATGGAAAGTTTAACACAAAAAAATTATATTTCAAGGAATTCAAGTAATTATAAAATTCAGCCTTCGAGATTTATGGCACCACAATGGAATGTAGGTGCGGTTATTAAGGCTTTGTAACGTATTTTCGGGAATACCTTATCGTCTTTTATTTACGTTCCCCCTTCATTTGTTTTCCTATCTGAGGTCAAATTCGTTGGAACATTTCAGTATTCCGCGAGCCGTCCTACGCGTAGGATATCGGAACTGTAAACACAGTCGGTGTTCGATAATTTTTGTAAATCGAATTCTCGTTCCGAAATAATCAGTGATTTTCCAATTAATTGATTTTATTAATTTAAATCAAAACAATTATTTAAAATCCAAATAATTAATTCGATTCAATTAAATTGAAATAATTAATTGTATTATTTACAGTGGAACTAATTTATTCTATTAAGAAAAATTGATATATCAGTGTTGGACATTAACATATACATCTGTCGTGAATTATCAGTGACCAGTGAATTATCTCGTGATCAGGTGCGAACAAAAGAGACGCCGGCGTGACGAGTCCTCTGGATCTCTCGAGCCCAGGAGGTTTCGCTCCCCGTAAGAGGCAGAGACCGGAAACCAGAAGATCGGGCAGCGTGTCGCCGAAACCGAAACCAACCCCAAGACCCACCACCCCACCGCCAGTCAGGTGTCCGTCCCTCTGTGGCCACATGCCCTGCGGCGATGGGCAAGCCGTCAATCGGTGGACCATCGAGGATGTCGTGAATTACGTGTCGTCGATCGACAGTTGCGCCGAGTACGCTCAGGTGAGTCACAACAATTTTTTTTTTCACTGTTCCGGTTCGTTTCATCGATTTCGCCACTACGACATTACTGGTGCCTCGAAAGAAACGCCAGAGGCGACGGGAAATCTCGAGTATTCCTCTCCAAGAGCAATAATCAAACTACCCACAATTCCATCAATCTGTCAAGCAATGCTAATAGCAAATCAACAGAAAACCTCCTATCGCTCGAAAATTTATGTCGCAATTAATTCCAGTAACGAAACATCGCTCATCCCTCGAATCCCAGATCGCTTACAAACCGTCTGCCTATGGTTATTCAAGGTCACGCCTTTAATTACTTCCCCGTCGCTCTGATTTCACCCGAGTGAGCTTTCTCTCCGTCTCCATTTTTTTTCAAGCTTCCCTCTGATCTCGATCCCTAGAAAATCTAAACACAGACATCCATTGCTTCCGAGGAGAACAAAGGAAAACGTAAAATCACGTGCGTCATTCGATGAAAAAACAAGGAATAGTAAGGGATAAGCTTGGACGTGGTTGTTTTAATTGCTTTTGAAAGTCGTTCGCGTAATGAGCCCTGCCGTGATCCGTCGGGCAATATCTCTGTGGAGCATGTTCAGCTCGACAATCCTGGTCGGCGGTGAGGTAAACGAACCGAAGGAGGTCTAGGAAGCATCGAATGACCTGACATCAGTCAATCCAGACAGTCTGGCATCAGCTGGGGGGAGGGGGGCTCCGTTAGAAGAGTTCTATAATGACCCCTCGAAGCTAGAATCGACCATCCACCACCCCTCTCTTGATCCTACAGCCCGCACTTTCTCCCCCTTTTTCTCGTTCGCTCCCGCGGAACACTCTCTCTCTTTCTTCTGTCCCCCAGGCGAAATTCCACGGTGAACGCAGAGTTATCCGTGATCGGTCGACATAGCCGTTTTTCACATTTTTCCGGCGGGGATTCGTTGGAAAGGAAAAGTTGTGTTGTGTGTCTCTTCCTGAACTACGGTTCACTGCTGTAAAGCCTTCGTGGCTCAAACCGTGGTGAAAATACGATTTCTATTGCGATAGGAAATAAGAGATACGTACATTTTCTTTCGGTGTGGTATTTGGGACAGGTGTCGAGGTAGACAGATAGTGGATAATGATGGGTGGACTGCGAATTTGATCGATTTATCGAATAATCGTTCTCTGAAACTCAATAGAATGGAATTTTTAAGAAAGTGTTCCAAGGTTCTTATTTAGAGGAACCTTAACAAGCGAAACAGATCTCTCACAAAAATTAGAAAGTGTAGTAAAGATCTATTTTCTAGGCAAAAATAACTATTTTCAATAAAATTACGAGACCTTGTAAAATATACAATATTTTTGAAAGAAAAATTATTAGGGACGTTATTATATACGTGTACGTAATTCATGAACTTTTTGATCGATACATTCGTATACATTATTTATACCAAACCGGACAATTTTGTGTTAATATAGAGTTCATGAACTGCTATCTAAAAAAATATCTCATCGCTGTTTTTTTGTCAGCTCATTGCTGTTTTGAAAGTCTTCCTACAAGACGTGGATGTCCATTAATTCTCCCTCATCTTGGTGGTTCGTTCATCCTCCCTTGATAACGTAATCGACTCAATCGAGAGCAAATCTTAGGAACGCCCTCTCGACGTTCCGAAAACTTCCAACCGTTCTGAAACCATTGACCGTCCGTTTCGAGGCGTAACGCGGCTCCACGGGGAACTGTCAGCCCCGATTATGTGACCGGTTATCGTTGCCCCTCGCTGCCAGCCGCGATCCTCGAAACGTCAGACTGTCAGCTTCGTAAATTTTTGCGGAGGCATCCACCAAGTCATGCATATTCATGAACACTCGAACCGAGAACGAGGTCCTCGAGTATCTCGATCGACCGTCCAGTGTCGGATTCGAGGATGACTGGAACACGAATATGGTCGCTGCTGGGATCACAGCGGAAACACTTGCGACTGCTAACTTATATGGAAGTATGTAATATTAATTTCATTTCCAGTTCTATAGCAGTATTTAATAGCAATTTATCTAACAGGTTGACCAATAGTATTACGAATATTAGTACATTTTTGGATTCGCAAGAAAGCAATTAAAATTTACGGAATTCGGTGATTACCACAGAAAGTATTAAACATGAATTAACTCGCAAATAATTAAAGAAGTAAATAAACAAAAGCCTCCAAATATAAGAAATTCGTGACTCGCAATTCTACGTTCCAATACAGAACGAACATTCAGGACGACTTAAAACAATAGATTCATAAAATACAATTATAAACAAAATTTAACGTTGGCAAACTGGAGTCATAAACCTTCCGATAATTACATAGACCAGCATAAAAGCGTTTTCAATAAGAAGCCGACTAATTGATAATCCGGATGGGGGTTTGCGAACGTATCGGTTCCATTGAGCGCAACCGCGGTGAGTATATGTATGTATACCCTACATCTGCGATCGACGACGAAGCCGAGCCCGAGTTTCGTGACGAATCGTAGATAGCAGAAGCACGAACGAACGATTTACAAGGTTTTCTGGTTCGTAAATAGCGTATCGCGTCGCAGCATCCCGAGATTATCTTATAAAGGATACCGCGGACTGATCAACGATGAGAAAGAGAGAGAAAGAGGGAACGTTCCTTCGGTAGATCCTCGTGGAATTATAGCGTTGATTCTTATCTGGGATCTGGAATAGCGGCGCGATACGTACGCTCACTTTCGTTCGTTCGTACGTACGGCGAGAACCTATCGTCGCGGAAATGTAAATAATTGCCGCGAATACTGCGTACCTAATTATCGCGGCTCGTTCGGCAGCTTGGATTTATGATCCTCAATAAAGACGCGATGTTTAATTGCTTGTTGATGATGTTTGCCCTGTGTTTCTACGCTGATTAACTACAAAAGCTACCCGAAGTCTGGACAATTCACAAATGACTCGTTATTAGTAATTAGTAGACTGCGGATTTTTATGCAAAATAATATTTTCTAAAGCAATTCATACAGAGAAGGTTCAATGTAGAAATTTCTGTCTTTTCTCAAGTATCATATTCGGTGCCGAATAAACCAACAAACTTATTGGATCTGATGAAAGTTTTGTCCTTTATTGTATTTTACAAACCCATATAGGCTATAAATGCATAAAATCCGCAGTCTCGTAATTACACTGCGGATGTTTATAAAAATATAGGTTTCTATGGGTTAATTTGTAGAAATTTGGAGTAAAATAAGTCGTTGTTATTTTACGGAAAATTTTCGGAAAATCTTTATTGAATGTTTTCTACGAGTAATCAACGCGTAATCTCCCCTAAGAAGAAGCCTCGCCAGTGTAAAGTACCCATAAGAAACGTAGCGTGTTTCGGAATCAAGGGGGACAACTTTAAACCCTCCACCATTGGAGCGTCTTTATGTACGCGGGCTCGGTCCCAGATCGTTAGAAAGTCATGAATGTGAATCGAATCGGTTCGTACGTCTTTCGTGATGTGGCACACAAGAAGATATCGTGTCTTCACGTCCCACGCATGATCTTCATGCAAACTCCTCCATCGTTTTCGCTCGCGTTTTATCGGTGTCGTGCATGTCGTCCATTCCGAGCATGCAGTGAGCCTCTAATCTTTGTTGCAAGAGACAAACTGACAAGTTTTTTTTAGGACGTTTTTTTTAGACACGAGGGATATCGACTGATCCACTCGACATGCCTCTTCACGATTCACGCCGCGAACCTTTACGTACATACGTTATCGCCTATTAATGATTAATCGAACGGCGTTTTGTCCGCGCGTACGCGTTAACCGTTTCCAGAACCAGAGAGAGAGAGAGAGAGAGAGAGAGAGAGAGAGAGAGAGAGAGAGAGAGAGAGAGAGAGAGTCGACCCGGGTCACATCACATCTCCGCACCGAATCGTTAGAAAGTCCGCTCTGGATCCTTCCATCCGAGTATCCTTCGTTTTTCACCCAGACGTGCTTTCATTTTTCATCGTTCTTTCCGGCTCTTTCCGCGATTTTTTTTGCAGTTTCTTCTGCGCTGATTGCGAACGGCGATCTAGTTTCGCGTTTCTTTCGGAAACGGAGAAACGGAGATTGGATTCGACTGGCGTGACCGAATTCGATTAAACTGATTTTGAATTAAGTAACCAGCGGGAATATAAATTGGCACAATTGTTGTTACTTTTTAGATTTGTTCAGGTCGGAGATTGTACTTTGTGTATGCTTGTTATTCGTTGGAAATGATTGATACAGTTATTGGATCGTATAATTAGAGTAGTGAGTCGGAAAAGTAATTAGTAGACTGCGGATTTTTATTGTTTCTAGAATTAGAAACAGCACGATCACATTTAGCTTTCCACACTGTAATTAAGTGCTTTCCCTATTTGCTGTTCTTTCTTCGAATCGTACGCTTCCGTGTTTCCTTCAACCCGTATCGGTACGAACAGCGCCTCGATCAGAGAAGCCATCCATCCAGCGGGATAGTTCGTCTTGATTGCGAAGTATCTGGCTTGGTGTTCGCGTTGTTAGCGCGTTCTGAGACGAAAAGGGTTCGCCTCCGCGGTCGTTATGCTGGAAAAGTCTTGTGCAACAACTGAAGTGTGCATCTCGAAGTACGTTACTTTTCTACGTCCACCGGTACAGTAACGTATAAATCAGTCCGCCTTTAGGTGACGCGTTGACGAAGAACCGACCGAGCTCTTTGTTTGGCCTGTCGGTCTTCGGTATATTAGTTTGAGGATTTATTGTTCCCATCATTGGCACGTCAACGACCAAGATAGGAGGTAGTAAAAAAAGATTTCTTATATGATAGAATAAATAAAATTGCTTCTCGTATTGTGTAATAGTCTGCTCCAGGCCTCAAGGTACAATTAAGTTCCTCCGTGTCCTTCGTATCTCTCAGCTACAACTCCGCCTGATAAATCGTTACACGGTTGGTCCCCGTAAAAATTCCTCTCTACCGGAGAACCGAGCCTCTTATCAGGCCTCTACGCAGACGTGTACCGATAGAAACAGTTACCCGAT